TCGACTTTTCCCATCCTAATGCAGAATCTTCTAATAAAGATCTCACCATGTTTGAATTAAGAAATGTAAAATCTCGCAGTGATAGGACTTGCGCTGGTCTGATGGCATAAGTTATTTGATGATAAAGCACCTGCCTATGAATCTCTAGAGGTCCTTCTTGCTCTTTATAATAAGATATGGAGGGAACAAATTTTTCCTACTGCCTGGTGCAGGGCCTTTGTTATTTCTATAGTAAAACCCGGCAAGGATCCGAAAAATCCTTTAAATTATCACCCCATCGCGTTCACTAGCTGCCTTTGCAAGATTATGGAAAAAATGGTAAATCACCGTCTCACCTACTATCTGGAGACTATGATCTTCACTTGATAATGCCCTGTTTTTAGAAACTGCAGTACGCAATGCATTTGTGAAAGCAAATCATGTGGTTTCAATCTTCTTTGACATGGAAAAGGCGTACGATAGAACTTGGCGGAATGGAACTCTTCATGACCTTTACAGCACTGGATTGCGAGGTAATCTACCCATCTTTATTCAAAACTTTTTGAAGGACCGCACTTTCTAAGTCAAGATTGGTTCGTTGCTTTCTCAAGTGTTTGTACAACAAGAGGGTGTACCACAAGGTTCAGTGCTCAGTGTCACTCTTTTCAGCCTGAAAATTAATTCCATTTTAAGAGAACTTCCTCCCACAGTGTATGGTTCCCTGTATGTTGATAATCTGATGCTCTATTGTCAAGGTCAAGATATGAGATACATTGAGAGACAACTACAAATTGCTCTAAATAGAATCATAAAGTACTCCAACAACAATTGTTTTAAATTTTCTAGCCAGAAGACAGTCTGCGTGCACTTCTGTCGCAAAAGAAATCTAAATCCTGATCCAGAGCTGCATCTTGACGGCTCTTTGATCCGCGTTGAGCCAGAAGCAAAATTCTTAGGAGTTATATCTTTGACAGAAAGCTCACTTTCCTTCCGCATATCTTAAATCTAAAGAAAAAATGGGCTAAAGCTCTCAACATACTGAAAGTCCTGGCCAATACTTCATGGGGAGCAGAAACGTTGTTCTATGCTCCGCATTTATAGAGCTTTAATCCGTTCCAAACTTGACTATGGCTGTGTTATCTACAGATCAGCAAGACCTTTTATGCTCCTGAAATTGGATCCAGTCCACCTTCAAGCGCTACGGATTTGCTGTGGAGCCTTCAGAACATCTCCAGTCAAAAGTTTATATGTCATCTGTTTTGAACCATCTTTGGAATTCAAACACAAGCAGTTGTCCATTGATCTTCATTATAAAGTAATGTCACAGGCCTAACATCCTGTCCGACTCATGACATCTAATCAGTACTGGCGTCTTTATCATGCCCGTCCTTCACGTATCCCACCTTTTGATCTTCGCATTCACTCGCTGATTGAAGAATTCAACCTAAATGATCTGCATCCCCAAAGCTTTGACCTTTTCGGTATTGCTCCCTGGCGAGAAGTGAACATTCACCTAGTTAACATTTTTGGAGAACTAAAGAAGAGCAGTACCAATGATATCCAATACCAACAAATTTTCCTAGAGCATAGAAGCAGTTATTCTAACTACAAAGCAATTTTTACTGATGGCTCAAAGAATCATGATCATGTCGGGGCAGCTTTTGTTTGTGATAAAGAAATAAAGAGTAGTAAACTTCATAAGGCTGCATCTGTCTTTACTGTGGAAACTTTTGCCATTTTGAATTCCTTAATCTTTATCTCTAGGCAGAATAGCAGAACGTTCATCATCTATTCTGACTCTCTGAGTGCTCTTGAATCATTGAATACAAATACCAGCCACCCTTTGGTCTTAGAAATTTTAAAGGTACACCTCCGTCTGAGAAATGCAGGTTATTATATTGCGTACTGCTGGGTGCCTGGACACGCTGGCATCAAAGGCAATGAACTCGCCTATATTCATCACATCATGGTATTTTATTATGTGTGCTGATATTACCTCAGAAAATGATGTCCCTTTTACAGACATACGGAATTACATTAGAACAAAGTTCTTGTTCAGGTGGCAAGAATTCTGGGAATGCCAAATTCTGAACAAATTAAGGCAGGTAAAACCGAATTTGGAGTACTGGAAGTCGAGAGGGAATCGGAAGGAGGATGTACTACTGACTCGTTTACGAATTGGTCATTGCAGACTGACACATCAGTACCTCTTGAAAGGAGATAATGAGCCTATTTGTGGCACTTGCAACGTTCCCGTTTCAGTCAATCACATTTTAACCTGCTGTCCTGCTTTTAGTCAGAAACGTGAATTTTATTTTAACTCTATGAATGTTAACTTAACACATCTCATTGGAAGAAACCCTCACATCAACCTCATAAGTTTTTTAAAAGACATCTGCTTTTACCATATGATTTGCTAGAGCATTTCTCAGTCATTTCTGCCTGGACATTTTAAAGTCATTTCTCCATGCCTTCATCAGCATTTCAGGCTCATTTCATCAATTCACTTAATACAGTGTGTTTATGCATCTTGAATTTTACTCACCATTTGTCTGGCGCATAATAACCCTCGAGGTTTTCTGCCATTTAAAAAACCAACCAACCAATCACTCCTCCTTCACAATCTTCCAGTCCATCCAATGTTTTGGAATCCCCCTTATAAAGAATTTATTTTAAAAGTCCAAAAGCGCAGTAATCCATAGGAGACACATCAGAAGACTTGGGAGAGAGGCATTTAAAGGGAATAAGTTCAATTTCGGTTTCATTTCTCATTTTTTCTAAAAATAGAGAAGTAGATTTAGAGGAATTGCTTGGAGCCTTATCCTGATGGAACTTAATACTGTAAAGATTGTTTGGATAAAGAGATGGAATTACTTTTTTTAAAAAATAAGTGTTAAAATATATTTCTGATAGTAATCCAAATTAATTTTGACATTTTTTTCTACTTTCCTTATTTTAAGTTTTCCATTATAAGATAATTCAGTCATAACCATAAAACCTTTAGGAAAAAACTTTCCTTGTTTCCTCTGAACCAACATATTAAGTCTTTTTCCTCTTTTTTGGTAATAAATTAATCTTTTTCTATTGCAATCAGAGAAGTATATCCAAGCCTCATCAATTGCAACTACAATCAAAAGTCGTTAATCCGGACTCGTCGGGACTTCGCCGATTCCGGATTATCGATTTTTCCGGATTATAGATCATCAGTTTAAATCTCGTAAGATGGCATGCAGAAATTCTAAAATTAAAAATATGAAACCGTAATTTATGAAATAAAAAACAATTATGATCTAAAGGGTATCAAAATTTTCAAAAGAAAAGCTTAATATTTATTTGTTTACTTTATTAAACATTTCTTTCAATGTAAGTTGTTTAAGTTTTGCTTCGTTTCATGTGATAATACTTTCTCTTTAATTCTATTAAACAGACATAATTTCTTGTTCAGTTACAAAGTTCCGCTGTTCAAGTCCTATAATTGCTGTGTCGAGAATACCGACTAATTTGTCAATCGAAATTTTTTCGTTTTCAATAACCTCTGTTCACTTTCTTCGACTATCGGAAGCGAATTATAATGATGAGGAACTTGTTTTAAATCATATCAAAGACGGAGTGCATCAAGATGAAATACTACATTTAGTTAGCAATTATAAGCCAAATAAAATAAAAACATCTGCCTTGAAGATAAGGATAGTGATGAGAGATCAACTTCCAAATTCATTACGTGCCCGCCGCGGCGTTCCCCCCGCCGAACTGCGTGAAATTGATAAACAGATTTCGGATTTCGAAACATACATTCGCTTTAGATCCTTTACATATTAACAAATATATATCGGAAATTCTATTTGATATAATCGAAAGTTTAAGCTTACTTTTATAAAATTGCTCTTACAGTCTGCAAAAAATAATAAGCCGGATCCAATTCGAAAATTAAGGAACAACGCAATCATCAACATTAACTGAAATAGATAATTAGATAATTTTAGCTTATACGTCCATTATACATAAAACGCGCACGCGAAAACGTATTCTGCACTTGCGCACACTCATATGCGCAGTCGTAAAAGGTCTTACGCGCACGCGTAAACGCCTATGCGCATGTGTCAACGCGGCGCATGCGCAGAAAGTTTTTAGTTTTGAGGTCCGGATTATAGATCATTCCGAATTATGGGTGTCCGAATTAACGACTTTTGACTGTATATATTTCCATTTTTCACCTGCCAAATAATTTTATACAGCAATCTGCACACAATCTTATGCTGAGAACATGTTTCGGCATTAGGCGATGAACATCGTATTCTTTTGTTTTGATTAGCTTTAAATCAGATTTTATAATTTTGTTCACAGTTCCTACAGAGGTAGTTAAAGATTTTGCAATAGCTCTTTGGGGGTCTGGATTTTCCTTTAAAACATGAGATGCGACTTGAGACTTAATAAATAAGGGCTGTACGTACCTTTGTTAAGTATGCATTTTTTGCCTTTTTCTCAGTCAGATGTAAACATTTCTTTCCTTTCATATTAATTTTGTCACTTATTTTACGTGTAGAAATATAAAAACCATGCTTTTCACATCTTTCTTTAATAATTGAATAAGACTATTTCTCTTCAGATAACATAAAAATATAGCTTTCGATCCATTGTTTATTTTTCAGCAACATTTTAAAGAAAATAATATTTTTAATGTTGCAGACGATAAATAAATCTTATTTCAGTTTGATGCCTGCCATGTTTGTATTTTAAAATTAATATTTAAATTCACGGAGAAAATCGTTACAAAAATGTGTGAACACCCTCTGTATTGTATTATTCTGTGTGTTAATTAAGTCCATCAACTGAAAATACAGAATTAGTTTCATCTATTCAATTAATTGTTTATTAACTCTATTAACATTTGTTTTCCGTATTTCCTGTGCTATAACTTCACTTAGTTGGCAACATTATGAATTAAAAATATTTAGTGTTTTAAACAAATTTTAGTAATATATTAAGTTCCTTGTATTAATCAAAAATTTAATTTATTTCAGGGGACAGGAATGAATAAAAAGTTTGACAAGCAAAAGGAAGTCCCATTACCTGCTGAACTGCGGTAATCTTTTTATAGTACTTTCGTATCATTGAATTAGCCTGGCCATTCAATTGATTCAAGTTGTGTAATGTACTTAAAATTTTCTTCAACAAACTATTTGTGATTTGTCTGTTATACGTTTAAGAGAGACCAAATACACAAAATTCTGCTTCATTATGTACAACTGTATAATAGGAATATAATGCCATGTCATATATGCCACTGCATTTCCTGTTTATATAAATAAAATCTGAGAGTAGCAAAGACAGCACACATAATAAAATACCATGATGTGAGAATATTAATATCACACAGGGTACAAACAAAATTAGTTGATGGTAAGTTATGGCAAGTTTTTCAAATGTTAGAATGGTTTTCATGTGTGTCACTGAAATAGTCCTTAACACGGGAATGATTTTGCTTGTGGTCATATTATTGAGAAGTTTAAGGGGGGGAAAGGGGAGCAGCACTGTCAAATATGGCCAAGGAACTTAGTATCATTGTAATATCATATTATGTTCAGTTCACATACAGATATAAAGGTGTTAATTACCATTGGTAGTCATTTATTAAAAATTCAATCATGAATAAGTATAATTTTTTACTACTGTGGATCTATTAGAAGGCCATACTCAGACAGGCATGGTATGACTATAAAGGAGTATAGGTTGGATAGTTTCTCTGTTTCTTGCGAGCAAAGTGACTTTATAAAGGTGGCTTGTTTGCTTGATGACCAGTATAGTGTGCCCTAATAATACTTGCTGATTGATATTATTCATAATTATTCTAAGAACAATAAGCATTTGACAGCATAATAGAGAAGTTAGATATGTTTTATGATGGAAATAGATTTACTTGCACTTGGGATTTGGCATCATCTAATCAAGAGGCTAAAAAACATAGTATTTTACTAAACAGTGATAGTTTGACCTGTATTAGATTCTCGGCAGAGAGGCTATCTGCATGGGTGTGTTTATGGTTTGCTCAAAGAGTAAGTTGAGCTAGTTTCCATTCGAAAATTCTTCCCTTGAATATATAGCTCTTGCATAATCAAATCAATCATGCTTTGCCATAATCAAATGAACCAAACCAGAACCAAAAATTACTGAAAGGAATAATATGGAAGGTATTTTTTTTAAATCTATAGCTTCTATTGTCTTGGGTAAAAGGCCAAATACTTGAGGGAAGTGATGCAACAGGTGACTGGTACTATAATGTTGTTATTCTTACCCACAGCCATTTGTTACATTGGTTTTATTAATCCCAGGATCATGCTTATGAATGATACAGTTGCTTCTTATTGGTTAAAGCTGTCAATAGGCTCTTAGAAAGTGAAGAGTTAAGTGAATTTTTATTGCTTTAAATGTTCCCTTGATCTAAATTTCATAAGCAGATGAGGCACTTCTTCACAGCTTATCAAAAGCCAACTGACAAAGTTAGCATTGGTGGAGTAATGAGTAGCATCAGTTCCAGCATTTTTCAAGCAAAGTATAGACAGATGGTGTAGTTAAGTCATCAGCATTAACATTCTGTATTGAAAAAGCATATCAGGATAATGTCTTTAGAGAGTTATATGTTTATCATGATAGCTGGTCCTATGTAGTCATTCATATATATTGTTTCTTAAGTTTAGTATTTCACAAGACCAAGTTTTTCCATATTTAGCCCAGAGACGCAAGCAAGAAGTTTTTCCATATTTAGCTTGTATCTCTGAGCTGCTACCTGTGAAAATATAGCTAGTTCTTATATCTTGCTTGTATATTAATCATTTTTAATACTGAAACTTTCATTTTTTAACTGCTTACAAAATTTGATTATACAGTCAGGGTTCGTAGCGGTCCTTATAAGTCCTTATATTTAAAAATAAAATACAAAGGCCCTTATAGGTGCTTACTTTTTCATTAAAGTCCTTATTTTTTTGTTTTTAGTGCTTATTTTTTTCTTTTAGTGCTTTTTTTTTTAATGAACGCGCTATTTTCCCCCTACCAAAGCCGAAACTAAATAAACAACTTTTCTTTAATATTGAATGTCAGGTGGTGAATCATACTCCCGGAAATAGCTTTTCCCCCCCTTTCTCTGCATTAACATAACCTTTGGTGCGCACAAAGAGTACAGACAGGTGCCCGTCGTTATATTGGTCAAAGAATTGCGAAAGCAGTAGAAAATTTCGGTACATTCGGCATTCTTTTCCTCTCACCCAAATACTATACACGTTTAAATTTCTATCCAGATCTTAATAATTTGCATTCTCGTTCCGCTTGGTCAGTTCATATTTGTGTTTATTATGATCATTATGCTTATATTATGAGTATATGTATGAATGTTTATAATAACAGTTGCAGTAACTGCTGAAGTATAGTAAACTTCCAAAAATGGTTGTATTTTAACACAGCGTTTTAGGAATAATACTCGGAATGGCTTAAATAAAGGGAAAGTAATCGAATAGTCAAAATAATTTAATTTTTTTTTGGCCAATACATTATATAGTGCGAAGATTGGGAGGTTCTCCCCTTTCTCCGCAAAATCTCAAATATTGAAACTGTTACAAGTTCGCTGCAAAACAAGCAACGGACTTTTTTTTTTTTTTTTTGTCACTTTCCAATCTGGATTGAATAGGACTAAAAGTTCTGTGGTCTACCAACCCAAGCGAAGAATGATTCTATTGCGGAAATTTAACGCCGTCTGTTGAAAATTAGAATGAAAAAACACCCCAGTTACTCATATTTAGTTCTTTATTCTCCCAATTTCAGCAGCTGTTGATTCCGATTGCGTAATATCACGTAGGGAAGAATTATGGCACACGTATTGTGCAATAACGTTTGCGATATTTTTCGCAGAGATAATTAATTAATTTAATTTGATGTTTGTTTGAGATTTGTTTATGAACACTTAAAAGAGTTTTACTGTGCTTGCTAAGCAGAATATTTTTCAGTTCCATTGGTTATTTTTATATGATTCACATATCAAAATGTCAAAAGCATTTATTTAGCGGAAAAATCTAAAAAGTGGCTACAGTCAACCCCCCCCCCTCCGCTCCTCTTTTTCAAGTTACGCTCAACTGTCCGAATATTCGCCAGTTTCCAAGTATGCGGCTTAGTTAAGCTTTTACTGTTAAAGGATGACTGCATGAAGCAAATTTCTGTCTTCTGATTTCAGAAATGTTCCTCTTTTTTACTTAAATTACTTTGCTTGCAATATCTGTTAAGAGAAAACTGATATACAATGAAAATTTAGAAAATATTCAGAATTTAGATTTAAATTATTTAAATATTAATATGAGTGGAAAAAAATAAATTGTATTTATTATTAGGTTCCAAGCAAATACAATAAATATGCCTTATTATTATTTATTTTCTCTATTTTGAACTGAAATTTCATCATTAAATCTTGTAATATAGTTTAGTTCTGCATAGTTTTTTTTTTTTTTTTTTTTTCTCTCATTGTAAACTAGTTCTGTAAATTGAACTGTTATTTAAAATTTAAAAAAAAAAAGTAATTATTTTCCATGGTTGAGGTAATGCTTATTCTCTCTTAAATAAATACTGCATTTCTCATATTTTAAATTACAAGTCTAATTAAGGTTATGCAGTTGTGTATAATGTCATTAGACAGGTGCTCATTTTTTTTCTTAAAATGTGCTTGAAAAGTGCTTATAGGTGCTTATTTTTTTAACTAAAATGTGGCCATGAACCCTGACAGTACAAAAGCCGAAATCCAGCATCGTTGGGACTTTGGCAGTTCCAGATTTCGTAAATTTTTGATTTTAGATCATCACTTTTGGAAATTTTCAGATTTTAGATCCTCAGTTTAAACCTAGTAAGATGATATGTAGACATGGCAACACTGAGTCTTCACTTCAGATAGTCTAATGCTAATCATCGAACAGGTCTGGTGCAGCTGCAACTTGCAGGAAAATTTACAACACATCTGCTTCCCTTTGTTTGTGTATTCTCCATTACTAGATTTTATAAGGGGGAGATTTTTTTTAGTCTAAAGGGGCAGTTGGCCCAGAAGAACTATTAATTTCATTTTGGCATTTTGATTTGATTCACTACAAGCATTGTTTCACTTTTCAAATTGTTACCACCAAATATTATCGCCCTGTATTATATTTAAAGAAATTAAGTAATGAAGAATGTGCATAAATGTGTGTATGTTTCTTGCATTGTGATAAAACAACGGTATCTAGAGCTATTAAATTTTAAATAACATAATCCTCCTGCAAATATGGACATCTGGAAGCTCAAATTTGAAATTTGTTTTATTATCAATTTCATATATACTTTAAAAAAAAACTTTAAAAAAATTTTTATTAACAAAGTCAAGGATTTCAAAGTGAGCAATGGCAACATTGTGCAGAAAAAAAAAATTTTTATCACCAGCCCATGAGACTGTGTATCAGAAATTCTAAAGATATGCTCATTTTAAAATTATTTTGCTATATTGCTCTTGAACTGAATTTTATAGCTTAAGTGCAAAGAACATGATACAGTCAAAAGTCGTTAATCCGGACTCGTCGGGACTTCGGCTATTCCGGATTATAGATCATCAGTTTAAATCTCGTAAAATGGCATGCAGAAATTCTAAAATTAAAAATATGAAACCGTAATTTATGAAATAAAGAACAATTATGATTTAAAGGGTATCAAAATTTACAGAAAAAAAAGCTTAATATTTATTTGTTTACTTTATTAAACATTTCTTTCAATGTAAGTTGTTTCGTTTTATGTGATAATACTTTCTCTTTAATTCTATAAACTGTCATAATTTCTTGTTCAGTTACAAAGTTCCGCTGTTCAAGTCCCGTAATTGCAGTGCCGAGAATACCGACTAACTTGTCAATCGAAATTTTTTCGTTTTCACTAACCTCCCTGTCACCTTCTTCATATCCATTTTTTGCAGCAATTCCTCTTTTTGTTTGATGGACATCGGAACATACTTTCGTTTTGTAGATCCTTTGGGAGCTCCAGCAGCGGAAATTCTTTTTGACATAATCGAAAGTTCAAGTTTACTTTTATAAAATTGCTCTTACAGTCTGAAAAAAGTAATAAGCCGGATCCAGTTCGAAGATTTAAGGAGCAACGCAATCATCAACATTAACTGAAATAGATAATTAGATAATTTTAGCTTATACCGTCCGTTATACATCAAACGCGCAAGCGAAAACGTATTCTGCACTTGCGCACACGCATATGCGCAGTCGTAAAGGTCTTACGCGCACACGTAAACGCCTATGCGCATGTGTCAACGCGGCGCATGCGCAGAAAGTTTTTAGCTTTGAGGTCCGGATTATAGATCATTCCGGATTATGGGTGTCCGAATTAACGACTTTTGACTGTATTTAATAAACAAAGGTAACACAAAATGTTAAAAAAACGCCCCCTTGGATGTAATTTAAAATCTGAAACCTTTCAGATTTTTTATTTTTCATTTTATTTTATTTAATTATTTATTGATTGGTAGTACAGAGGTCCGGATGTTGGACATTTGGATTTCTTACTTTGTACTGCATTTTGTTTTTGAATATATATATATTTAATATGTTATCATTCCTTTTCCCATAGGCACTTTTCTTCAGGAGATAATAACCAATGTAAAAAGCAGAAAACTGAATGTGGTAAGCACAGGATGCATTTTTTAAGCATACAATGTTTTAAAAAATTTACTTTTTTAAAAAAATCTTCACCTATATACAGTTTTAATGATTTTAGTTAGAATCATTAGTAGTAAAGTTAATTCATTTCAAATTATTTTTAATAGACTGGGATTGATAATTTTAATTAATTTTATTATAAAATATGTGTTTTTATTTTTAAATACATTTAAGAATATATAGATTTTAAATCAGTAAAAATTCTTTAAACTGCTTCAAAAAAACAATAAAAAAAAAAAAAAAAAAAGTGTAGATCCAGAAACAGAAACTACATATGAGTGCCATTTGCTGTATGAAAATTCACTTCCTGCCACTGAACATGCATGTATTAGACTCATTTTTTGTTTTCTTAAGAAATTCTTTTTCTTTAATTATAGAATTTTCACTCTTTGTACTGATTGAAAGATATAAAATAAATAAATAAATAAAAATAGGTTTTATGAAAATAGTTTTCAGTAGCTGCTTTAATGCAAGATTTGTAGAAAAATATAACATAGATTAAACACATGTTTGCAGAATGTTTTGAATGCTTACATGTGGGAAAATGTCGATTCTGTAAGTGATCAAGCATATTCATACATTTTAAGTAAAAATATTTTCAACTATAATAGCAGATGACAAATCTCAGTTTTCAGCATCAAGGAAGGAATAGAATTTGCAGTGCCTGCTCTGATGGAAAAATCCTCAGCTTTCCATATTCTGTTTTCTTGTATGTATAATGTAAATATGAATCATTTTTCTTTAGAAAGTCCTTCATGAAGACATTCTTTCTTTTTTGACTTAATATAAATAATTAACAAATCAGTCTCCTGTGTCTTCCACTACACCAACAAGTTGGTGCATACTATCTTCATGCATTGCACTCCTGATTCTAGAAAATAAAAATTGATAGTAGGAACTTTATTTATGTTATATATTTATCATGATTTCTACTTTTGCAATATTTTCAGTTTTAAGTTTTGTCAGCTATGGTATGATAGGTTTAATTTAATTTTAATATGATAGGTTTAATATTTGGTTATAATTTTATTACTCAAAACATTTTTACCCTAGAAGTTAATATTAATTTTTGTTTGCTTTATGGCATTTTGGCTCATTAAAGATTTTACAGAGATGTAATTCCAAAATCCAGGGAAGCCTGTACCTGCAAATGTGTTTAATTAAAATGAAATAATTTAAGTATAAATATTTCTTTCATTCCATGTCAACACATGACACCTTGAATGCAGGAAATTTTACACAATTTTGTATTTTATTTGGAAAATTTTTTATATGTTTTTTCTTTGTATGTGTGTTATTGCTCATTTATTACTGGGCTAATTTCTTTTTTGTCATTTATTCCCGAACTTTATTATATACAGTCAAAAGTCGTTAATCCGGACTCGTCGGGACTTCGGCGATTCCGGATTATCGATTTTTCCAGATCATAGATCATCAGTTTAAATCTGGTAAGATGGCATGCAGAAATTACAAAATTAAAAATATGAAACCATAATTTATGAAATAAAGAACAATTATGATCTAAAGGGTATCAAAATTTACAAAAAGAAAAAGCTTAATATTTATTTGTTTACTTTATTAAACATTTCCTTCAATGTAAGTTGCTTCGTTTCATGTGATAATACTTTCTCTTTAATTCTATTAAACAGACATAATTTCTTGTTTAGTTACAAAGTTCCGCTGTTCAAGTCCTATAATTGCTGTGTGTTGAGAATACCGACTAATTTGTCAATCGAAATGTTTTCGTTTTCAATAACCTCTGGGTCACTTTCTTCACTATCGGAAGCGAATTATAATGACGCGAATTATAATGACGAGGAACTTGATTTAAATCATATCAAAGACGGAGTATATCGAGATGAAATACTACACTTAGTACGGAATTATAAACCAAATAAAATAAAAACATCTGCTCTGAAGATAAGGATAGTGCTGACAGATCAACTTCCAATCCCCAGCGTGAAATTGATAAACAGATTTCGGATTTCAAAACATACTTTCGCTTTGTAGATACAAATTACATATTAGTAAATATATATCGGAAATTCTATTTGACATAATCTTTCTAATCTATCATAATCTAATAATGACGTTTCTGCCCCCCCCCTCTGCCGCAGAGCAGTGTGAAATTGATAAACAGATTTCGGATTTCAAAACATACTTTCGCTTTGTAGTAAATATATATCGGAAATTCTATTTGACATAATCGAAAGTTCAAGCTTACTTTTATAAAATTGCTCTAACAGTCTGCAAAAAATAATAAGCCGGATACGATTCGAAGATTAAGGAACAACGCAATCTGCAACATTAACTGAATTAGATAACTTTAGCTTAGCGTATAACTCCGTTACACATTAAACGCGCATGCGCACAAACATATTCGCAGTGTAAGGGTCTTATGCGCTCCCGTAAACGCCTGTGCGCATGCGTGAACGCGACGCATGCGCAGAAAGTTTGTAGCTTTGAGGTCCGGATTATGGGTGTCCGAATAAACGACTTTTGACTGTATATAATTCTGCATATATTTCTTGACTATTCTTGGCCAGATGAGTTCAATCTCAGACAATTAAAAACTTTTCATTCAGTTTTCTAATCTTAGAGAGTTTAAAGATTTTCAGTGATGCTAATTCACTTTTTACCATATTTATTAGCTAAACATGGTTAGAACATTGAGCAGATTAGGGACATTTCTTAGAAATAGGTACCTTTCTTGTGAAACCAAACAAAAATATTCAAGCTTCAGTAAAGAGAAGAATAGTTTTTTTATCTAAAGCGGACTACAGTGCAGAATTAGAAGGAAATAATTAACTTGTCAATAAGCCATACAAACAATCTTCATAAAAATTTTCATATAAAATTTTAAATTGCACACATTGTTTCACAAGAAATTGATTTTGAATAAAGTTTCCTATTTCATCACCCTAACAACAAGACTAATGAACCAATAAAAATACTGTGAGCTGATTGAAAAATACAGTGCTAAATTCACAAAAAATTTTCGTATTTCAGGGCATGGGAAGGTAAAATAAAGTTTTTTTTCACTTTATAATTTGTTATGAAAGCTATTTTTGCAGGGCATAGTTCATTTTATGAAAGATATGTTTCATCAGCTTCTTATCCAAATTTTTCAAAACATACCTTTTAATTCAATGCTTGTCTGCATATAAGGTAAGACACGGCTGTTCTTAAAGATGAAAATTATATAAATAAAATGATCGCTTCTGACAAATTATTTTATCAAAATTTTTTGTGTAGTTACATAAAGTGTACCAGAAAAACACTGTCAACTTCAATAAGCAAAAATTACACTAGACATTACACTAAATAAGCATTTTTATACCTTAACATTATACACCAATTTCCAGATAAAAATGATTTTATAATGCCTATTTTTATGATTTGTTACTACTTTTTATTGCAGAAAATAAGGGCATAAATTGATATGCAGATTTGTAATTTATAATTGTATGATCCATTCTAGTATTTTTACTGTTATTTTAATAGTTCATAGAATATGTTGCAGCTATTTATGGTGCACAAATTCCATGAAAAATACAGGATGTCCTTAAATAATTATCGTGATTATAAAATGTAATTCATGGTTTTGCACAAATAACAAATTATGAATTGAACATCAAATGCATGAACTCTAAAAATTTATAATTATATGAAAAGCCTATAATAAATTTCATATGTGTATCCCTGGTAGCACATGTAAAATATCACTCTACCTTGCCTTCCCTATAGTTAAAAATTTGGACTTCATGACTTAATTAACTTCACACTAGGTGATGCCTTTCTATAACATGCCTGTAACATTTGCTGTACAGTTACTGGTGATTTTGTTGCAAGCCACACAATACATTGTGTCTTTTTCTGCGGGGAAGCCATTTTGACAATGTAGCAGTCCTAGCAACAAAAAATACACAGCTGAAATATTCTATTCAATGGATTCTATTTGATACATATATATATGCAGTAGTACCTTTTGTAAGAGACACCTCTATTTAAAGGACAATTCTGTTGATCCCAGTCCCATTGAAGAGGGACCTTGATATATTTACCTCTTATTAAGAGACACTGAAAAAAAGTTTCAAAAATTAGACAGAGGTAGAGAAATAAATAAAAATTGAGATACTCTTTATTAATCTTTTGAGGTTTCAAAGGCAAGTTTGTCCTCAGTGTTATAAAGGAACAATAAAATCAATAGTTAATTCCTCTCTTTTTAAAAACTGCTTTTCAATAGGGAAAAGCGGAACAATACATTGAGAAAAAGCAAATTGTGGTGCAATCAAAAGGATATTTCACATTCACAAAATTCAAAATCCAGTTATTCTTGCTACAATTCTCAGCAAGAAAGAAAATAGTATTAGCAAGTTGTAAGGCAATTCGAGACAGAGACCAATGAAAAGATAAGGTAAGATGACTGGACCTGCTGCCAAGGCCCACGGGTCTTACAATGTGAATACAGTGAAAACTTCTATCATTCTTACTAGGACTGGGAAGCAAAAGAAGTGTAGTTTTGAACTTCTGCAATCCTTTGATATATGTTATCTAACATGGCTTCAAACAGGAAAATATTAACATTAAAACAAAAAACTGACTTAATTCATCTAGCAGAAACTAAAAAGCTTAGTTTAAGAGATTTCATGCAAAAATTTAGAATGAGTAAAAAACAAGTAAGTCATGTTCTAAAAGATAGAGAAGAAATAAAAATATTGCATTACTAATCCAAATTAACAATCCAAGACTATAAAATTAGAAAAACTGAAGCATGTGAAATTGATATTGTTCAATAAGTTTTCTTTGTAAAAGCAAACACTATTCCTGTAAATGGAGTATTATTGCAAGAAAAGACAAAAGAAGTTTTGGAAAGTCTAGACCTACAGAACTTCAAAGCATCAAATGGCTGATTAGCTGTCTAATCAACCATTTGAGTTAAGACAGCATTACTTTTAGTGATATTTGTGGTGAAGATTATATCCATAGATATGCAACATGTAACAGACTGAATAAAAAAGCTAAATAATATTTGTGAAAGCTATAAAGCTAAAAACATCTATGGTGCAGATGAAACTGTATTATTTTATTGAATTTTGCCTAAGGAAACTATGTTTTAAAGGGAAAAGTGCTCTGGCAGTAAAAGCTATAAGGAAATGTCTTATGTTGTTACTTTGTTGTAACATGAAAGGAGAGTTTGAGCACTCAGTTGTAATAGGAAAGGCCAAAAAAACAATGATTTAAACACATCAATCCAAAAGCTTTATTGATCCATTAGCATCACAATAAAAAGATTTGTATGATGTAAAGCATAATGTCAGAATGGTTGATTGCTCTTGATTAAATAATATCTAGAAAAAATAGGAAGACTGCTGTTTTTTGATAATTTGCCAACCCACCCACCGAATGTAAAACGAAAATCAGTGAAATTGGTGTTTTTACCATCTAACACAACATCGTTATGACAGCCTTTAGACCAAACTATAATTAGAAGCTTTAAGATTCATTACAGAATTTTTTTTTTATGGCATGTTTTTTGTCAAGCTGCTTATTGAGACATTGATCGTTTTGCAAAATGGGACAATATGCCATTCAGTGGATAACAAAGGTATCACAAAGTTTTCAGTGCTTTTAAGAAAGCAGGCTTTGAACTTCCTAGTTTATAATGCTCTCAGTGAAAATACTACTGATGAAAATAAATTGTTTGAAATGATCAAAATGAGTAGCAGTGCCCAAATGCAAAAACATTTAGAAATCAAGGAAAACTTGTGTACTGAAGACATCAATGCTGACATAAAATCTTTTATTTCAACTATAGTTGATGATGTGAGCTTAAACAAAAGTAGCTTGAAAAGCAGTAAGGAAGACATAGAAAAGCCAGATGTTATGTGTGACATAAAAAAACTACACAGAAATCAGAAAACTCAGCAATATAAAACAAGTGTGTTGCCACTTGCAATACAGTTCTCTTTCAAATTTAATAAACAAAGTCAGCACTTTAAAAGAATTGTGTTGCCATTGGTGGAATAAAAGTATTTTTATTTTTTGTCATTCAGCAATGCATAAATATTTAACATTCCATTCAAATTTAAAATTATTTATTATAAAATCATTTCAATTATTATTAATATCTAGTTTGACTTGTAAAATTATACTGACTGGATTCATAAAAATCATCTATAGATATAAAGAAGAGTGTCTGTTTCTTTGTGTATGCATAACTGAAACAAATCTAGTTTTATCCTGTTCCGAATGAAATTTTGCGAATGGGACCTTCAAAACAAGAGGAAGATTGCTGGTGGCTAATTGCTACATAGTATTTCGAAAAATCACCTCATGGGGTCCACACTTAGAGCAGTTTACTTACAATACCCATTTTGTATACACACTGTTGTTGTGAGGTTCTGGCTATCAGTAGAAGTCATAAATGCTAAGAAAGGAATTTTTAATTGTTGTTTTTAGGAAAAAAAAAAAATAACTATTTCTATGCAGTTTCATTTTTTAAATCACAATGCCATTGTTTCTCACTAATACCATTAGATGACACTGTGTTTGCCTACTCTTTTAAACAGTGCAGAGCTTTCCAGAACAGTACAGAACGCTTAAAGCAAAATTTGCTCTCTATAAGGTTTTTGTGAATATTTTGAAAATGGTGAAAAAAAATCAGCCAAAGTAGATGGTGATCCCCCCCAAAAAAAAGACAAAGAAAGAAAGGGGGGAAAAGATATAACCAAAGCAAGTACTAGTTGTGTATTTTTTGCACAGTGCTAAAACCGTTGCCTAGTGCCATGTTAGTACGGCACTGTTTTACAGTTTTATTGAAGCTTGGTAAAATTTTGTATAATTCACCTTGAACCAAAACAAGAAGTGAAAAACTACTGCCACTAACTGAAAAACCACCACAACCCCATCCTCCTGAATAAATGTTTCTCATTCTGCATAAAGCTCGGCCAACACTGGGTACTTGAGCTATTATATTTATTATACTTTATACAGATATTGTAATACACAATGATTTGAAATGACATTAGTGGTTTATGACCTGGTTATTTTGGTATTTTTGAAAGGTGAGCTAAGCCACATGACACAGTCAAAGTGTGTTTCAAGGATGTTAGCTTAACTGAATAAGCCAAGAGCTATCTGCCTAGCAGGAGGGATGCCTTCATGAATGACTTTCTGAGGGAGAATGGTTCATATTCACGTTACACATAAAGAGAGCCATGAAAATAGCCCATTTGCCTGGGTTCAAACTCCCAGCATTCAGCAGACTTAACCACTTAGCTATTGGGGCTGTTTCAAGGAGATGACAAGTATTAGTAAGCTGAGACAGTATACACATATACTGTAATTTACAAAATACAGAATAGAAACTTTTGTGTAATATTTTGAGATTTCAAATAATATTGCTTGTAATTTTATAAGAATGTATGTACACTGTGTGTGTGTGGGGAAGACAGTTCTATTATCTCCTGATTGACGAAATTCAACTTTCATTTCTCATGTCTTGAAAGCACGACTTGGGATACATATTGGATTTATATATAGCATTGTTCTAAAATTTTTTCTGAAATGACATACCAATTTCTTTTTTCATATTTCGATTCTACAACTCATATTATGCCAAACTGCCAAGTTTTGTAAAAATAGCACAAGTAATTTTTAAGAAATTAGCTCTCAAAGTTTTAGATCACTGGTAATTGAATTTGGTATATATTTATTCATATCTCTTTTTTTATTAAACTTATTTGATTCTTCCTTTCCTATTTAAAATTTGCCCATTTTTGATTTATATTTAAAAATAATTTTTATAAATTTTTCGGGAAAAATTTTGTATTATAAACAAATTTTAACATCATCTTAACCTATAAAAATTTTAACACCATCTTAAAGTAAATGAATTTCTAGGCATACCTACAAAAAATTAGTTTTTTATTCAAATTTTCTAAGATATGCATGAATTTACCTTTTGGCATGATTTGAAATTTGGCATATTTGTTGTGAGCAATAATAACGCCAAATGTTAACACACTTTGTTAAAATTATTTGAAAGTATGAACGATGATTTTTTTCTTCTCGTCTACAAAAAAGGAAAGGAAAATAGATTGCTGTAAATTAAGGAGTTCACCATTTTTGGCACAAAGATAACTTTTTTATTTCTCCGTAAATTTCGTACTAAATTTTACAAAATTTAATATGTAGGCAAAATTTGAAATTAGAATCGAAATATGGAAAAAAATTGGCATGTCCAAAACTGATATTTCAGGAAAAGTTCGATTTTTGTGTCAAAATACCCATATTAGAAACAATGCTATATATAATTCCGATACATATCCTAAGTCGCGCTTTCGAGACATGAAAAATGCAGGTTGAATTTAGTCAATCGGCCCAGTAGAATGAGAGATATAGAACTGTCCCCCCTTTTTTTGCGCAGTGTATATATTTACTTACATATATAAGACATTAATACTGCATATTATATTTTATTAAGATAAACATTTAATTATTTATATGCTAAAGAAACATTTGATTAGCTATAAGAAAATTCTTAAAATAGCTATTTAGAAGAATTTTGCAAATGTATAAAGAATCAAATTTTTCCATGTTTATCAATATTGTGGAGTAATATTATAAAGATGGTTATCTTTACAACAAACTTAATTCACAATTTTTACATTTATTAGATTTTATTAAAACTCAGTACAACATGCATGTCTAACATTTAACACTTTGCAAAAGTAAACAAACCTTTTTCTTTTCTTATTGTTTCAGATGCCAAAACCAAGCAGTCTGTTGCAAAAGAAGCAGAAGTCGTTTTGGATGAAATGGGAGAATTACAGTGTAAACAACAGTAATTTCATTACACAGATTTTATGTAGAATATTCTATATTATCAAAAATAATAAAAATGCAATTATTTTATGTATTAAATTATTTTAGATTTCAGTGAAATGCTTCTGCACTAAAATTTTAAGGATGAAAAGCAGTTTAAGAATATTTAAACTTCAAATTAATTTTTATCATGGTGAGAAACATAAAAAGTAACTTTAAATCTCAAATAATTCATTTTTTAGTCAATCTCCCCTCACTACTATTTCACAATGCTTTTTGTATAGTCCTGTTATAGAAGGGGGGGGGAAAGATATGAGAGATTCTGAAAGATAAATAATTTAGCAAAAAAAGTTATTTTCTTTTGAATGAATTCATGTAGAAAACCACTAATTTCAAGGACCAAAAAAAAGTTATATTCAATACCATTGTTTCTTTATATTCTAAGAAAAAGTCATTACTTTCTACAGGAGATTGCCATGAAAGGTTTCATTGTACTTGCTTTGGAGTGTGTCAATTACTTTATATTTCACAAAACATTTTATGTACAAAGTATTCTCAAAAAGTAAAAATACAATGTCTCATGCTTACTAAAAAAACTAATTGATGAAATGTCCATCACATGCCTTATGTTTTGCCATGATTGCTATTATTGTCTAAGCATTTGTTAAGTACTGGACAAACTTTTGTAGTCCATGGTCACAGAAGTTTACCACCTGCTGTCGAAACCACATTTCAACCCCAGTTTTGATCTCATCATCATGTTTGTCATCAAGTTTTTTCATGCAAGATGTTTTTCTTCAGGTAAAAGAATAAATGGAAGTTGCTGGGTATGAATTCTAGGCTGTATGGCAGACTTCCCACTTGAAACTTTTGAGTAGTGCTTTCGTTTAAAGCCTTATCTGAAGAATGAGCACTGTCATGAATCAAGCAGACTCCAATTGTCAGCATACTCCAATATGTTTATTTTGAACTGACAATTCAAGCCATCTCAATGTCCTACTCAGACAATAGAAGGCTTTTTCCCCTTGAAATTTAAAATTTTGAAGTTCTTGGCTTTCAGGAAATTTGTATGGTGCCATTGCATTGACTGTTGCTTGGATTCTGGTGCAAGGTTATAAACGAGTAAAAAACCAGTCTTGTCACCAGCAAAAAGAAAAACAACTAACAACATGATTGAGAAATTTTTCAGTTGCTTCTCCATAGTGTATGAGGAAGTTGAGTGGAAAGCTCATCCTTTTTGTAGTCTTCCGTTAACATACTCAGTACCCAGCGTACATATAATTTCCTTTACCCTAAAGTCACAGTCTCATAGAGAGTTGTCATAGACATTTTTGGTATAATTTTATGCAATGCTTTCAATAAAAGATGGCTGTTTGCTTGAACAGCTTCGTCTATTCTTTTAAGAAGAGCATAGATGGCCTTCCTGTTCTGTGTTTGTCATCAACATTGTCTGTACCTCTACAGAAAGCACAATGTACGAGGGCCATCCAGGAAGTAGATTACGTTTCCGTCTGTGTCCGCTAGGGGCGGGGCTAGCGCGGCCATCTTGGGGTCAGAGCGTTGCGCAGCTCAGTCTGCATCTAGCCGTGCTAGTGAGAGGTTCATGCTGTGCTCCGTTCAGATACTGTGATGGTTTGAAATGTCTGCGTTAATTGAAAATCCCGCGAGCTGCGAGGTGCGCTCAGTAATAAGGTTTCTGACTGCAAAAAACTGTAAACCGATAGAAATCTATCGGCAGCTTCGTGAAGTGTATGGGGACAACATTATCACTGAAGGTGGAGTGCGTCAGTGGGTCATAAGATTTCAAAATGGCCGAACCAATGTTCACGATGAAGATCGAAGTGGGAGACCCAGCATAGTGACCGCCGAACTTCTCGAAAAAGTCGATGCTAAAGTCCGTGAAAATCGAAATTTCACAATAACGGAACTTTCTTTGAGTTTTCCACAAATTTCGCGAAGTTTGTTGCACGAAATCATCAGCGAAAAGCTTGGTTACCACAAGTTTTTGTGCAAGATGGATTCCAAAAATCTTGACAGAGGACCACAAAAATCATAGCGAATGGCTGCAGCGTTGAACTTTTTGGACGCTTACCATAAGGATGGTGACTCTTTACTCGATCGCATCGTTACTGGTGACGAAACATGGGTGAAACATGTGAACTGTGAAACGAAATTGCAATCAATGCGTTTTGATGACGACGCACAGCTGCAAGAAGAGGTAACGAAGTGGTTGAAGGCGCAGGCGGCCGAATTTTTCGACGAAGGAATTTCCAAGCTCGTACATCGCTACGATAAATGCCTTAATTTGTATGGTGACTATGTAGAAAAGTAGTATTTGAGTGTGGCTTTCATCTGTATATAATAAAATTTGTTTCCTATACTTTGTTTATTTTTTTATTCCAAAACGTAATCTACTTTCTGGATAGCCCTCGTATTTGTTAATTCATAATGTTGCTATAGATGGAAATAATTTCTTTGAGAATCTCCTGGATGCTGAACTTTAGCATCAAAAAAAGATATGACAGAATGCACTCTGTTTTGGCAGGATTCTGAATTGATGCAGCCATTTTACACATATGCTATTCAAACAACACTCACATAGAAATAACAAATAAGTAAGAGGAAGAGCAAAAGGTTCAAGGTGTTACAGTCAGTGTCTCAAATGCACTCACCAGAACATTCCCTTTCCTGCTGTTTGTGACGTATCTTTATGAAAACACCTCGTATATTGCAGCTTAAACAGAAAATACGTAAGTTACTAAGACCAGTGATGTTATATTCAAAGATTTATCAACATATTTCTAAAATTCTGAAAAAGTTGTTAAACTAGACAGTTTCTTAATTAGAATTCAAGATTTCATAGTTTGTGGAGACTGTTGATAAATCATGAACAAACATTTTTGCCTTGGAATTCTTTGCTAAAGCAAGATGTCCAATATTCACAATATTGTTAGAACTGTTGATCTAAAATTAATTCTGATCCATATGGGTTTTAAAAATAAAATTTTGTTAAAAATAGCACAAATATATATAAAAATCTTTATTAATATAAGCAATATATGGAAATAAAATTTTGTAGTTTTTAAGAAATAAATAAAAATACTGCATTTAAAAAGTATAATTTTATATTTAAATACATCATAGGGAAATTCATTATTCAGTTTTATGTTCACAGCAGTTTATTCATTCACAGCATTCAGTTTTATAATCACATTAAAAATACAGTCAAAAGTCGTTAATTTGGACCTCAAAGCTACAAAATTTCTGCGAATGCGTCGCGTTGACGCATGCGTGTAAGACCTTTACGGCTGCGAATATGCGTGTGCGCAAAATACGTTTACAAATGCGCGTTTAATGTATAACGGATGGTATAAGCTAAGCTAAAATTATCTAATTCAGTTAATATTGCAGATTGCGTTGTTCCTTAATCTTCGAATTGGATTCGGCTTATTATTTTTTGCAGACTGTTAGAGCAGTTTTATAAAAGTAAGCTTGAACTTTTGATTATGTCAAATAGAATTTCTGATATATATTTACTAATATGTAAAGGATCTACAAAGCGAAAGTATGTTTCGAAGTCCATTACACAAAAAGTGGAATTGCTGTAAAAAATGGATAAAGGCATATCCTTTGTTTATCTAAACTTTGTCGCGGTGCGCAATGAATTGGAAGTTGATCTGTCAGCACTATCCTTATCTTCAGGGCAGATGTTTTTATTTTATTTGGCTTATAATTCCTTACTAAATGTAATATTTCATCTCGATGTACTCCGTCTTTGATATGATTTAAATCAAATTTCTTGTCATTATAATTCGCTTCCGATAGCGAAGAAAGTCACAGAGGTTATTGAAAACGAAAAAATTTCGATTGACAAATTAGTCGGTATTCTCGACACAGCAATTATAAGACTTGAACAGCGGAACTTTGTAACTGAACAAGAAATTATGTCTGTTTATAGAATTAAAGAGAATGTATTATCACATAAAAAATGAAGCTACTTAAACAACTTACATTGAAAGAAATGTTTAATAAAGTAAACAAATAAATATTAAGCTTTTTTTTTTTTTTTTTTTTTGTAAATTTTGATACCCTTTAGATCATAATTGTTCTTTATTTCATAAATTACGGTTTCATATTTTTAATTTTATAATTTCTGCATGCCATCTTACCAGATTTAAAGTGATGATCTATAATCCGGAAAAATCGACAATCCGGTCTGACTTTTGACTGTAATAGATTTATATGAATGTTATAGGTACAATATTTTTTAACATATACATATGACATCTCTTTATACAAATTTAGTGCATGATAGTACATTAAGTAAAAGTTAAAGGAATTTTTCAATATTTTAAAAATATGTTAAAAGCTTCTTCCTACACAAAAGTACAGCTTACAGAATAATTCAAAACAAAAAATTGAATTATTGCTTATTTTTTAAAAAAATGTGTTTTTAATGAGAGAGAGGAACGTGTAAATAAATTGCTACAAATATAAAAAGCAAGAATAATCTGGAACTAAGTCAAATCAATTACTAACATTAGAAGGAAAAAGTGTAAAATGCTAAGTTTTACAAAACATAATAAGACAGAAACGATCACAAAATTCTTATAAATGAAATGCAAGTAAAGTAATGAAAATTATTCGGTATTCTATTTTAAATTATTAGCCATAGCTGTACTGTCTTAAAGGTTGTCTATATAAGTAATTCTGCTATTTTGTCAGAAAAACTGATTGCATCTTTACTTGTTTTTTGTAGACTTTGCCTCAGTTTAATTGCTTTTGCTTTATTTATATAACATAGCATCGCTTTAATTGATACCATCGCATATAATTTGATAACATAGCATAACTTTGATTTGTATGAATTGTTAATTTTTTCAATATATTCTTTTAGATTCTACATAGAAAACATCCAAAAATTATTTTGTGCACAAAATCTAAGTAAGATTGCTAACTGGTTATGAATATAGTTGTGGCGATTCAGGTACGAAACCTACACTATTATTTTATCAAAACATTAGTATGAAAGATGTATTATATGTAAATATACATAAAATACATATATGACTCCAAATACAAAATAATTTGAAATCTGA